TTATAAGCCTGCTAGAACTAATACACAGTGTTAAATGAGTATAATGATTATTGTGGGTGTGAATTTTTTGTTTTCCTGAAGAATGATTTTGTTTGCAGAAAAGACTGTTCAGGAATGTTTGGCTTAAAAACTGCTGTTGAGTTTTTTTTTTTTTTTTTTAACATTTTTATTGGAGTATAATTGACTTACAGTGGTGTGCTAGTTTCTGCTTTATAACAGAGTGAATCAGTTATAGATATACATATATCCCTATATCTCTTCTTTTTGTGTCTCCCTCCCGCTCACCCTCCCTATCCCACCCTTCTAGCTGGTCACAAAACACCGAGCTGATCTCCCTGTGCTGTGCGACTGCTTCCCACTAGCTATCTATTTTACATTTGGTAGTGTATATATGTACATATATAGACTACCACTCTCTCATTTTGTCGCAGCTTACCCTTCCCCCTCCCTGTGTCCTCAAGCCCATTCTCTAGGATGTCTGCATCTTTATTCCTGTCTTGCCCCTAGGTTCTTCATGACCACTTTTTTTTTTTTTTTAGATTCCATATATATGTGTTAGTATATGGTATTTGTTTTTCTCTTTCTGACTTACTTCACTCTGTGTGACAGACTCTAGGTCCATCCACCTCACTACAAATAACTCAATTTCATTTCTTTTTATGACTAATATTCCATTGTATATATGTGCCACATCTTCTTTATCCATTCATCTGTCGATGGACACTTAGGTTGCTTCCAGTCCTGGCTATTGTAAATAGAACTGCAATGAACATTGTGGTACATGACTCTTTTTGAATTATGGTTTTCTCAGGGTATATGCCCAATAGTTGGATTGCTGGGTCGTATGATAGTTCTATTTTTAGTTTTTTAAGGAACCTCCATACTGTTCTCCATAGTGAGTGTATCAATTTATATTCCCACCAACAGTGTATGAGAGTTCCCTTGTCTCCACACCCTGTCCAGCATTTATTATTTGTAGATTTTTTGATGATGGCCATTCTGACCGTGTGAGATGGTATCGCATTGTAGTTTTGATTTGCATTTCTTGAATGATTAATGATGTTGAACATTTTTTCATATGTTTGTTGGCCATCTGTATATCTTCTTTGGAGAAATGTCTCTTTAGGTCTTCTGCCCATTTTTGGATTGGGTTGTTTGTTTTATTGATATTGAGCTGCATGACCTACTTGTAAATTTGGAGATTAAGCCTTTGTCAGTTGCTTCATTTGCAAATATTTTCTCCCATTCTGAAGGGTGTCTTTTCGTCTTGTTTATGGTTTCCTTTGCTGTGCAAAAGCTTTGAAGTTTCATTAGGTCTCATTTGTTTATTTTTGTTTTTATTTCCATTTCCCTAGGAGGTGGGTCAAATAGGATCTTGCTGTGATTTATGTCATAAAGTGTTCTGCCTATATTTTCCTCTAAGAGTTTGATAGTGTCTGGCCTTACATGTAGGTCTTTAATCCATTTTGAGTTTATTTTTGTGTATGGTATTAGGGAGTGTTCTAATTTCATTCTTTTACATGTAGCTCTCCAACTTTCCCAGGAGCACTTAGTGAAGAGGCTGTCTTTTCTCCACTGTATATTCTTACCTCCTTTATCAAAGATAAGGTGATCATATGTGTGTGGGTTTATCTCTGGGCTTTCTATCCTGTTCCATTGACCTATATTTCTGTTTTTGTGCCAGTGCCATACTGTCTTGATTACTGTACCTTTGTAGTATAGTCTGAAGTCCCGGAGCCTGATTCCTCCAGCTCCGTTTTTCTTTATCAGGATTGCTTTGGCTCTTCGGGGTGTTTTGTGTTTCCATACAAATTGTGAAATTTTTTGCTCTAGTTCTGTGAAAAATGCCATTGGTAGTTTGATAGGGATTGCATTGAATCTGTAGATTGCATTGGGTAGTATAGTCATTTTCACAATGTTGATTCTTCCAATCCAAGAAAATGGTATATCTTTCCATCTATTTGTATCATCCTTAACTTCTGTCATCAGTGACTTATAATTTTCTGCATACAGGTCTTTTGTCTCGTTAGGGAGGTTTATTCCTAGGTATTTTATTCTTTTTGTTGCAATGGTAAATGGGAGTGTTTTCTTAATTTCACTTTCATATTTTTCATCATTAGTATATAGGAATGCCAGAGATTTCTGTGCATTAATTTTGTATCCTGCCACTTTAACACAGTCATTGATTAGCTCTGGTAGTTTTCTGGTAGCATCTTTAGGATTCTCTATGTATAGTATCATGTCATCTGGAAACAGTGACAGCTTTACTTCTTCTTTTCCGATTTGGATTCCTTTTATTTCTTTTACTTCTCTGATTGCTGTGGCTAAAACTTCTGAAACTATGTTGAATAGTAGTGGTGAGTGTGGGCCACCTTGTCTTGTTCGTGATCTTAGTGGAAATGGTTTCAGTGTTTCACCACTGAGGATGATGTTGGCTGTGGGTTTGTCATATATGGCCTTTATTATGTTGAGGTAAGTTTGCTCTATGCCTACTTTCTGGAACGTTTTTATCATAAATGGGTGTTGAATTTTGTCAAAAGCTTTCTCTGTATCTGTTGAGATGATCATATGGTTTTTCTCTTTCAATTTGTTAATATGGTGTATCACATTGACTTATTTGCGTATATTGAAGAATCCTTGCATTCCTGGGATAAATCCCACTTGATCATGGTGTATAATCCTTTTCATGTGCTGTTGGATTCTGTTTGCTAATATTTTGTTGAGGATTTTTGCATCTATGTTCATCAGTGATATTGGTCTGTAGTTTTCTTTTATTGTGGCTTCTTTGTCTGATTTTGGTATCAGGGTGATGGTGGCCTTGTAGAATGAGTTTGGGAGTGCTCCTTCCTCTGCTATATTTTGGAAGAGTTTGAGCAGGATAGGTGTTAGCTCTTCTCTAAATGTTTGATAGAATTCTCCTGTGAAGCCATCTGGTCCTGGGCTTTTGTTTGTTGGAAGATTTTTAATCACAGTTTCAATATCAGTGCTTGTGATTAGTCTGCTCATATTTTCGATTTCTTCCTGGTTCAGTCTCAGAAGGTTGTGCATTTCTAAGAATTTTTCCATTTCTTCCAGGTTGTCCATTTTATTGGCCTAGAGTTGCTTGTAGTAATCTCTCATGATCCTTTGTATTTCTACAGTGTCATTTGTTACCTCCCCTTTTTCATTTCTAATTCTATTGATTTGAGTCTTCTCCCTTTTTTTCTTGATGAGTCTGGCTAATGGTTTATCAATTTTGTTTATCTTCTCAAAGAACTAGCTTTTAGTTTTATTGATCTTTCCTATCATTTCCTTCATTTCGTTTCATTTATTTCTGATCTGATCTTTATGATTTCTTTCCTTCTGCTCACTGGGTTTTTTTTGCTCTTCTTTCTCTAATTGCTTTAGGTGTAAGGTTAGGTTGTTTATTTGAGATTTTTCTTGTTTCTTAAGGTAGAATTGTATTGCTATAAACTTCCCTCTTAGAACTGCTTTTGCTGCATCCCATAGGTTTTGGGTCGTCGTGTTTTCATTGTCATTCGTTTCTAGGTATTTTTTGATTTCCTCTTTGATTTCTTCAGTGATCTCTTGGTTATTAAGTAGTGTATTGTTTAGCCTCCATGTGTTTGTAGTTTTTACAGACGTTTTCCTGTAATTGATATCTAGTCTCATAGCGTTGTGGTCGGAAAAGATACTTGATATGATTTCAATTTTCTGAATTTTACCAAGGCTTGTTTTGTGACCCAAGATATGATCTATCCTGAAGAATGTTCCATGAGCACTTGAGAAGAGAGTGTATTCTGTTGCTTTTGGATGGAATGTACTATAAGTATCGATTAAGTCCATCTTATTTAATGTATCATTTAAAGCTTGCGTTTCCTTATTTGTTTTCATTTTGTCCATTGGTGAAAGTGGGGTGTTAAAGTCCCCTAATTTGATTGTGTTACTGTTGATTTTCTCTTTTATGGCTGTTATTATTTGCCTTATGTATTGAGGTGCTCCTGTGTTGGGTGCATAAATATTTACAATTGTTATATCTTCTTCTTGGATTGATCCCTTGATCATTATGTAGTGTCCTTCTTTGTCTCTTGTAATAGTCTTTGTTTTAAAGTCTGTTTTGTCTGATATGAGAATTGCTACTCCAGCTTTCTTCTGATTTCCAACATCTCTTTTATTAAAGCTTATACTCAAGGCTATGGGAACCACCAAAGATTTAGAGCTATGGAAAACCTAAATTAGAAGTGTATGTTTTTAGTGTGTTTATTTGAAACATAGGGTTAGTTTATAGTAATGTAGTACAGGCAACCATGGATTAAAAAGCAGTTCTGTGGGCTCACTTGTGATCATAAATTCCGGATATAACTTTATTTATGCGTGAGGGAAACTCTGTTTTCATGTTCTAAGCCCGTCATATTCATACAATGGAATTGTAAATGAAGAATGCCTCTGTCACTCAGAAGATAGTTGTTTTGACAACGTACATATAGAAGAGATAAACAGGTATATTTTTTAAATGGAAGGAAAAATCAAGCTGAATAATCTGAAAGTCATCTAATAATTTTTATTAGAAAATAAAGAAAACCTCATTAATCCACCTCCACTAATCTGAATTTTTGATTGCCAATCTGAAGTAGGTTAAATTGTGGTTGTTTTATCTATTTAAGAAAATTTGAATAGCCAGTTACATAAGATGTATGAGGTATACTAAATCCATTTTAAAAAGCAAATTATTTTCATTCTTGTCCTGCAAAATGTTGTATATAAACAAATACTGCTAATTACACATTAGTTTTCTTTATTAAAGGTGATTCAACAAACATACTTCATCTTCACACATACTTGAAGTTTATATTTATTCTGAAATATTTTATTATCTAGCTTTCACAGATCAAGACTGATCATCCTTAATTCGTTATAATTAGTAAGAGAGAGTGAGTGAGTCTGTCTGTCTAAGTGTCAAAAGATATTTGGGAATCACAGAAAGCTTTGACTTCATCAATCCATCCTTCCCACCCCACCAGGTTTTTACCAAGCCTTGCAAGGTCAGCATTAGAAAAAAATCTGGCAGATGCTGCAATAGAAATAAGTACTGATAATAACCTGGAGCCAGAATTGGAGGATTACAAATGTAAGCATTTGATTTGTTTCTTTTTTAAGTGAAATAATATTTATTAAGCATTTGTATTGTGTATTATTTTAATTTCAATTAAAAATGTTTTTGGTTTCTACCCATCTTGTTTTACGTATTGCGTTGAAAAAATGAATCTTTTATTTTAAAAAAAATGTTTCCAGATACCAGATATAGTTCCTCCCCCAAGAGTTGCAATTGACATAATCTATTAAAGGCTCAGAGAATTCCTACTGTAAATAAACATGTAATTTTGTTTTACCTTTTATTCCAAATGTATATTTCACCACAGGTTCTAGCAATCTGTTTTCTTTGCACAAGATTGACATTTTGGGGACTACCAGTGTCCTACATGTCATGTTTTGGAAACTGTTCTAGGTTGATGTAGACTAAACTGATATTCAGAGTCCCATTTCATGCCTTCTTCCTCCTTTCATTTCCACCCGTATTGTCTTCTGTGGTACTTTTCTTCTTGATAGCCATAAGTGTAATTTAGAGTTTTGGGGAAGTTTAGATCTTCCTGTAAAAGTACCCTATTCTTCATTTAGAGCACAATGAAAGGTTCTCTGTTTTTTGAGGGTAATTACCTGTCTTATCAAAATATCCAATGTGTGATCACTCTCTAAAGGGGGGACTTATTGTGGCTCTCTTTATAGATGTTTTTAATAGTCGGGGCTACATTGAGATAAGAATTTGATGTTAAGGAAATAGGTGACTCTTTTAGAGTAAAATTATAAATTCAACATACTGATGGATCTGGGTACAGATACGCAGAGCCAACTCAAAGAGACAGAATAACTCTGGGATTTGGAGATTCAGAACATTACTTACTTGAATGGTTTAACGTATCCAAAGAAAGACTGCATCATTCAGACTATAGATTGTTTAGTCTTGGCAACAGGCCAGTGTTAGCAGTCCCCATCTAAGCCTTGCATAGGAGGTAAGGAGCCTAAGTTAAGCAACTTTTGATTCATCTGGTCCCATTCAGTTTTAATATCATCTCTGTTGTAGAGAATTCATGTAATTCATTCTCCTTGTTCAGAGGATAAGTTTCACCGAAAAACCTTCTGATGAGGATTTGGCTTTCCACACAAGGCTCCGTCTATATAAAATGCTGATATGGCAACAAGTGTATCATATAGTCTCTATGAAATTTGCAGTTTTCACTGCAATGTAATATTGCAGTTCTGGTTTTATATATCAGAATTTATGTATAGATCAAAATATATGTCTTTAATGTTCTCCTGAGAGTTAGGTTTGCCCTCAGTCATAATGATAAAATCAAGTTTTGAGCCTACCAGACTGAAGGCCTTGACAAATGTACCAAAATAATGCCATCCTATGAGATTTCTCAGGAGATAGCTAGCCAGCTTTCTCCCAGGGAAGTACTAGCATCACCATTCTCTGAGTTCATTTCCCTTTTCTAGCCTGAAATTTTAGCAATAAACATTAGTTGAGTGAATTAAATCATCCTAAAGCACTAAATGTACTGAATAGATATCCTCCATAAACTAAACTGTAGATGGTATCAAATGCTGTTTGAACCTGAAATCACGTGTGTCATCTCAACATAGAAGTATGCAGTAAATTCACTGACGCAATCCTGGTCTTTCCCTTTACAGTTTTATGTTGGGTCTATTTCAGAGACCTGAAAGTAGTCAATAAATAGTAACTTCTCAGCACAGCAGTTCATGCTTTCCTTCCCTATAGAACTTGTGAATAGAAGGAAAATGGCAAAGAAATATTGGAGGGAGAGGTCTACTGTGCTTTGGCAAATGTGTAGCACTCAGCAGTGATTAAACAGGGTGACAGTGTAATTATTTTTAGCTCAAAATTGTTCACGGTACTCCATAGATGCATATGTTGCTTTCTCTCCTTGTCTTTCATAATGTTTTAGCACAAAACCCGCAATTTTCTTATTTGAAATAGGAGGAAAAAAAGATGGGTCCGTTGCTTAAGGCATTGTAATTGTCTGTCTGCTTGCTCGGGTATTTCCACAGGATGGAATATTAGTTAGAGTCCACATTGCAGAAAGAATATCGGACTCTACTAAGTTCTGTTTTTAGCTCTACCCATACTAGCTGGGTGATTTTAAGCAAATTATTTAATTTACGTTCTTCTTAGCTTCCTCATAATTCTTGGCTTATTGTTAAGAGATTTCCATGAAATTATATTAGAAAACAATGAGCTGAAGCTAAGGTCCTCAGTAAATGATAGCTTCTATTATGGTCAGTACTACTACAACAACTACCACTATTATGTTATTATTATTGACCTTGGAATATGTCAGGTAGTGAGCATGTGTATCTCCTTTCTGTAGGGAATACATGTGAGATATGTACCCTGACATAAATTTATTACTTAGTTCCCTGGCTTCAAGGAGCTCATATTCTATCCTAGACCAACTGTTTAAAGCAAATAGGGGAGAATACAATAATGATTATCACAGAATAACTGTAGCACCTGTGGTGCATATTTGGAAGTACAGGTCTCCTGGACCATTCCTAAAAATAGTAATTTGAGAGGTCTGGGGTCAGTTGGTTCATCTATATGTTTAGCTAGAGCTCTAGGGGACTCTCCTATGGGGTTTTTCAATGGGTGGGTCCTAAAAAAATTATATTCAAGGTACTTCAGAGCTTTCAAATGTATGTATTTTAGAGTTTCTGACCAAACAAGCTCATAAAGGTGGCTTGACTGAGTTCTGGTTTTTTTTTCCCCTTCTTTTTTTTATCTCTATGCTGTTTGCTACATATGTTGTTTTAAATAAAAGTTATTACATTTTGGAACATCTTAAGCCTTTTTGTAGAGATTTTAAGCTTTTTACGTAGTGCTATGATGTTTTATTACCACCTTCAAGCTTATTTCTTTTAGATGTTAGATGAAAATTCCTTGATGAGCCCACAAGGTATTAAAGATGCAGTACTCATTCTATTTGGGCTGGACTTGGTTTCTCTAAGGACAGTGCTACTAGTAATTCTCTGTCCTGTGTGAAATGTTTAGGTGAAGTCACATCTGGATCTCTGAGGATTGGAGCTGTTAGTGCACCGATCTATAATGCCCATGAGAAAATGAAAGTGCCTGATGTTCTGTTCTATGACAACATCCAGGTAAGAGCAGGACTTTGCATTCGTGGATATATCCCTCTTACATTGTGGTAATTAACCCCAATTCAAGTGAAACTGATATTTATGTTTGTAATTTTGCTCAGTTCAATTCAGATGATGCAGAATGAGGTGACAGTCAAAACATCTTTTATTAAGTCGTTGTAAAATTATAAACTCTTCCCAGAGTTACTTGAGAATTGGAAGAGTTGCTGCAATGATTAGAGTAATAAATTTTAAATGCAGACATAACTATACTTTAATAAATAAAATAAATATACTATTAAATTAAAAACAAAAGGCACTAATATTCATCTTCTCTTTTGCGTTCCTGTTAAATCATTTCAAGTAATTCAAAAAGGGATGTGTCCTATGCATTCTTTTCCTCACGTTTCTTTCCTTTTCCCAAAAATTCCTAGTATTTTTCTAGTCTTTACTTTTTCTTATCTTTTTTTAAGAAAGGAGGATAGATAATTTTCCACTTGTAAACTAACCAATAATTATGAGCTTCCACTAAGACACAGAAATAAGTGTGTACCCAGAAAGCTAATTTATAGATGTTCACTTTAATAAGAATTTTTTCCAGAGAAAATTACCCATAATATAAAAAGATTTTTTCTTTTCCAGATTTTCTGTGAAGTGCTTATGTATTTATTTTATAATAAAAACCATACTTAAAATTTTCTCTAATATTTGGTCACTATTCTGCATGTAAATAATAATCCTACATTTACAAATTATGTTTGAAGAACTTCTACTTACCATTTTCACTATATTAACGAATTAGAGAATTAAAGTAAATTAAAGAATTTCTTTATCTGCTATTTCCCAATCCTATTTGTTGTTCAATGGGTAACAGAATGTATATCTCTACATTATGTTAACAATAAAAGGTATCTCAGCAAATTCTTCTTTCTCAGGAAAAGTCTTGATTAAATGTTTTTGAAATCTGTCCAGATTATAATTATCTATGACCTAGCAAAAGGCATAACCTGAATTTGTTTTATATTCTTCATTCTATGGGCCATTAATTAATATTGGTTTTATTTTTCTTCCAGAGCATTAATGCTCTTATACAAGCAGTGGACAAATGAACACAAAATAAGGTTACTTATAAGACACAAAGGAATAAAGAATCTTGCCTGTCAAAGACAAAAACATGATGGCAAGGAAAATGTAATATTTTCAAGCATTTATGGTATCACACTCTGTTCATGTAGTAGAAAGGCATAAAGAAAAAAGAATCAGGGAGATTTCTCTGGTGGCACAGCGGTTAAGAATCCGCCTGCCAATGCAAGGGACACGGGTTCGATCTCTGGTCCGGGAAGATCCCATATGCTGCGGAGCAACTAAGCCCGTACACCACAACTACTGAGCCTGCACTCTAGAACCCGCAAACCACAACTACTGAAGCCCGCACACCTACAGTCCCTGCTTCACAACAAGAGAAGCCACCGCAATGAGAAGCCTGCACACCACAACTCAGAGTAGCCCCCGCACGCAGCAACGAAGACCCAACGCAGCCATAAATAAATAAATAAATAAGAATCAGGAAACTTTGTCATAAGTGACAGTTTGAAAAACTCCATGGCAACAAAGGTTGAAAAGACTTCCCAGCGTATAAAACTGTAGGAAATTCAGTAGCAGGGAGGGCCATTGTACCCTTGAACACAGTGTCTGTTGCCATGGTGTTTGTGACATAGACGTTGAGGACCGCAGGGCTGCTGTGAACTTTACACAGTGGCCCTGAGGGATTTTCTGCAGCCTGTCTCCAAACGTACCTTCTCTTCATAAAGCATTATGAATTAACCATTAATGAAAAATTGTAGCTGTACCAATTCTAGGAATGGTGGCTTGATTAAATTTGCTTTTGTTGCATATATTATTATTGCGTATTATTATTGTGTTTTATGTTGCACTTCACCTTTGAAACAGTGGTCTTCAGTGCCTCTTGAGTATTTAGGTGCTTCTATACCATCTTGTTCTATACCCTGTGGTCCCCTTGCCACACCGTGTTGTAATTGATTTTTTAAAACATGTTTTCCACACTACTAAGATAAAGCCTTGTTGTTGTTGTTTTAATTTTAATTTTGTGTCTCTAGCAAATAGCACAGTGCCTGGCACATAGTGACTGTTGAATAAATATGTCTTGAGTGAATTCCTGAAAGAAGGAAAAAGATTTTGAATGTTCATAATTAGGAGTATTATTTTATTTTATTTTTTTGTGGTACATGGGCCTCTCACTGTTGTGGCCTCTCCCGTTGCGGAGCACAGGCTCCGGACGCGCAGGCTCAGCGGCCATGGCTCACGGGCCCAAACTCTCCGCGGCATGTGGGATCTTCCCGGGCCGGGGCACGAACCTGTGTCCTCTGCATCGGCAGGCAGACCCTCAACCACTGCGCCACCAGGGAAGCCCAGGAGTATTATTTTATTATATCTGTCATTAAGGAATTATAGATCGGTGCCCTAACAGCTCCAGTCCTCAGAGATCCAGATGTGACTTCACCTAAACATTTCACACAGGACAGAGAATTACTGGTAGCACTGTCCTTAGAGAAACCAAGTCCAGCCCAAATAGAATGCAGTACTGCGTCTTTAATATCTTGTGGGCTCATCAAGGAATTTTCATCTAACATCTAAAAGAAGTAAGCTTGGAGGTGGTAATAAAACATCATAGCACTACATAAAAAGCTTAAAAGCTCTACAACAAGGCTTAAGATGTTCCAAAATGTAATAACTTTTATTTAAAACAACGTATGTAGCAAACAGCATAGAGATAAAAAAGAGAAGGAGAAAAAAACCCCAGAACTCAAGTCAAGCCACCTTAACACTTGCAGTAGTAAGGGGGAGAAATTGGAAGAAAGAGAGATTTATAGCTTCTTAAGCCTAATGAGCTTTAGATTTGAAAAACTTTAAAAAAATATCTACCATGTGTCAAGCCTTTCTTAATACAGTAATTCACACACACACACACACACACACACACACACACACACACACACACACACACACACACACACACACACACACACACACACACACACACACACACA